AATGGCTGCGTTCAGCAGACACAACTGTTGAGTGAGCGCTCAATGATTTCTTAACATGATTGGCTGGATCTGAAAGTATTAACCAATCATACTGAGCGCTCACTCAACAGTTGTGTCTGCTGAACGCAGCTAATGATTCTCGGTTCTGTCTACAATGGTCGTAGTCGTAAGAATAATCGACTGCGATTGGTCAATTCTTAAGGCCTTCACACATAAAATTCCGAAAGGACGTAAAACGTAAGCATAAGAAAATCGACCAATCACAGTCGAGAACGTAAGGCAATGACGCCAAGCAGTAGCAAATCCAACCTGTTGATTTTCTTACGCTTACGTTTTACGTTTTTACGGAATTTTATGTGTGAAGGCCTTTATCGAGCGACTACGACTACGACCATTGTAGACAGAACCGAGAATCATTGTAGCGGAGGCTTTAAAGGTGCAATTTCACATAGGCTGCGGTCAAGTTGTCGCTTCAAATACTTCCAAGCACTCTTTTTCTCCTTTCTTTCGGCAAAGATAGAAAGAGAAGAGAAATACTTGGGAGCATTTGTAGCGGCAGCTTGACCGCAACCATAGACGCTAGAAAAATTTGAGAGTGTCGTAAAGGCCAATGTCCACGATGCTAGAACTTGATCCAGTTCTAGTTCTGGGAAATGTATGGCCAATCAACGTGCAGTTTTTATGGAATAGCTGCAAGTTGATTGGCCACGCGTTTCTTGAAACTAAAACTTGGACCAAGGTCCAGCAACGTGGACACAGGCCCTTAAAGCTTTGTGTGCACGATTCAAGAACTGTGTCAAAGTTCTAGTTTCGAGAAATGTGTAGCCAATCAACTTGTATCTCTTACGGAAAGGCTGCAACTTGATTGGCTACGCATTTCTTAGAACTAGAACTTGGATACATTTTTTGGAACATGAACACAAAGCTTAAGGCCTGTGTCCACAATGCTAGAACTTGGTCCAAGTTCTAGTTTCGAAAAATGTGTAGCCAATTAATCAACCTGCAGCTATAATATTCCGTAAAGTCCCGCGTCCGACATTAGGCTACGTTCAGAAACACCACCCGAGTATCCCAGCGTATCATTCTATCCTTGTTTCTCACCGTGTGTTGAACAAGGATAGAACGATTCGCTGGAGCACTCGGGTGGTGTTTCTGAACGCAGCCTTAGCCGAGCGCTGAGGCTAAAGCCTTGTGTCCACGATCCAAGAACTTGGTTCAAGTTCTAGTTTCGAGAAATGTGTAGCCAATCAACCTGCAGCTATTCCATAAAAGCTGCAAGGTGATTGGCTACGCATTTCTCGGAACTAGAACTTGGACACAGTTCTTGGATCGTGGACACAAGGCTTTACCCCCATCCCACTCTACACCCTCCACGCGCTCGGGCCTCGGCCGCCGTGCTGCGTGCACAGCGTGCACTGTGCAGAGAAGCTGAGCAAAAAGATGTCTATTTCGCTCTGACTGTCATCGTGGATTCACGTGCGAGTCACCCGGCGATACAGGACGGATTAGTCTCAGCGAGATATTTGGATATTCGTAAAAAGGGAGAGAGAACCGCGCGAGAGATGAGCATTGCGTGTCAACATCAGCCTCCGACGGAGACTGAGGTCACTGAGGTGGTGAAGACGGTGAAGACGTTGAAGAGACGCCATTCTGACGATGATCACATGGAAGTATGTGCTTGGATGAACCCCGGTTTTACCAACGTCGTTTAACTTCGATCCTAGTTTAAATCATAATTGTTTAGAATCGGATCGCTATTCGACATCGCCGTGCGATCTGTTGTCGCCCGACGCGGCAAGTCGCGTCTCGATTCTTAGACGGTCGCGTGGCCAACGTGACGAGTAATTCGTGTCTACGTCCTACTCGACAATAAAGTCGCGCGATTTACCCAGCTAATCACGCCCTTGCCTTCGGTCCTGCGATCGCGAAAACGTTTGTTCCGCGCCGGTCTCGTTAGCCGACCCTTCAAGAGCGTCTCTGCGTAACGCGTTAATCGGTCGGCGGGTTCCGTTTGGCACGTGGCGTGTACAACGCGTTTTCTAACCTAGAAGAAAAATTTTTGATTCCGCGGGGGGCGCGGGGTTGCATCGTCCCGCGCGAGGCCCGATAGTCGGGCTCCTGCATTGTATAATACCACCAATTAATCGTCTATAATTTTACAACGCCTATCGGTTCGTCGTGGCCCAGTCGGCTCAAGCCTCGTCTACATAGAAGTCGTAGTCGTAAGAATGGTCGACTATGCCCTGCCGGAAATAATTCTACAAAATTCTACAAAAATATTAAATATAACTGCCAGAATCTAAGAAATTCTACGTAAATTTAAAGTGTTATAAAAATCAACATAAAAATGCTAGAATTGGAACACTTGTTAATTTTTGTAATATTCTACAAGTAAGCAGATATTTTAATTCTTTAAGATTTCGTTGTTTCTCAAATTTTTAAAACTAGTAAAGTTTTGTACTAATTTTTACAAAATTGTACATTTTCATGAAATACTACTTGCAATAATTTCTTGATTTGAGAATATTGTAATTTGTGATACTATTTTATAGATATTTTTACAAAGAAATAAATGTTTCAACGAAGATATAAAAATTTCTACAAATTTATATTTCAAGTCAATTTTTTGTAGTTATAGAAATTTTTTCCGCTAGGGTGATTGGTCAATTTTTATGTGTCTGACAAAATTGCACCAATCGCAGTCGATTATTCTTATGACTACGACTCTGCGACTCGCATTGTAGACCACGCATAAAGCCTATCACACAATAGGAAAGCACAGGCAATAGGAATAAGGAATAGAAACCTATATAATGCCAAGACACAATGATTCGTTGGCAATAGGCGTACTATCCAATCATCTGCATTTTGAAACCACGTGCCTGTCCAAGTCTCAACTGTGATTGGTCAGGTAGGTCAGGCACAGGGAATAGGGAACAGAAATACAACGCGTCGGAAATTTTGTTCCTATTGCCTATTCCATATTCCATTGTATGTCGATACACGGTTTTTAGTAAGTTGGAATTTAGTTATTTCTGTTGCCTGTGTTATTCCCTGTTCCTATTGCCTGTGCTTTCCTATTGTGTGATAGGTATACGTATAATAATATATAAGATATACGTATAATAATATAATACAAAATCTGTAGGGCAATTTGACTTTAATGCATATTATTTTCGTTCGTAGATACTGGTGCCAGCACATAGGCGCTCATCTCTAAAAGAGAATTGGGTGAAAATATTTACGCCCATCACAGAGCGGTGTCGCCTACAGATCCGTTTCAATGTGAAGAAAAAATATATAGAAATGAGACCATCACGAGAGACCTCGGACATGTCGTCCATGCAAAAAGCAGCAGATTTTGTCAAAGCATTCATCTGTGGATTTGAGGTGGAGGATGCTTTGGCGCTGCTGCGCCTGGACGACTTGTTCGTCGAGTCCTTTGAGATACAGGACGTCAAACAGCGGATAAAAGGCGATCACCAGTCTCGGGCGATCGGGAGACTGGCGGGCAAGGGCGGCAGGACAAAATACACGATCGAGAACATGACAAAAACGAGAATTGTGTTAGCAGACACAAAAATACACATTCTCGGATCGTTCAAAAATATTAAAATGGCTCGCAGAGCAATATGTAACTTGATATTAGGCAGCCCACCCTCAAAAGTTTATGGGCAGTTAAGGAACATGGCTGGCAAGGTGTCGGATCAATTCTGGTAGCCATGTTCCATTTGTTTATAATGTATATATACGTACTTGTATAAATATGTATATCCTCGTGTACAATTAAGAAATTATTTTATATACTTGCTATTATAATAATACATATGTACATATATACAGTTTTGTACTTAATATTGTACGTGACATATCGCATAGGTACATTAAATATACAAGAAACAATTTTACTTCCGCTTTTTCATCTCGGTCATCTTCTAGTATCGGTGGATTCACAGAAGTATTTGATATTTATATTTCCGCGGTACTTTATTCAGGACTAATCTGCCGTCGTAACTGAGAGACGCGAATGTCCAGGGGTCGGCGGACGACCACTCCACTGCGTACACACTGTCTTCATGCTCCTCGTACCTTCCTACCAGACCGTCTTCCAATCTAGAACGTTACGAGTGTACGAAATATTGAATTTCGCGTGTAAATTGGTTAAGAGAGTATCGTTGCCCGATATATTTACTTTTTCTTCTCGCAAGACTGTTCGCTCTGCGACGTCTCGTCTTTCGCCGACACCATATGGCCGAACGGTTCCGACGATATGGACGCTTTACTGCACAATATCACTCGGGAGTCGCTGCTGGACTTGGAACGAGCTGATCGTGGAAACGATTGATCCGTATATTCCACACCCAGTGCGAATGTTCCATGCGCGACAGCACGGTTCTATCGGCAGTCGGATATCCCAGAACTTCATGTATCCGTCGTCGCCGCAAGTGGATAGAAAATACTGGCGATTTGCGTTGAAATCCAAGTCTCTGAGGAACGGGTTATGCGGAGCGATTAGTTGAGCTCTCTATCGAGAGTGAAACGTCCTTGTTACCTGATGATTTGTGAATGCGCAGATAGAATGGACCAAGCGGCATTGGCCGGACTTCGAAAATCCCATCCGCGAACGTTGTTATCATTCAAGGTGACAAACTGATTGGCACCGTTGTGAGGATTCCATTTACCGTTCGTAAACCGTGGCTGACTTTTTCCTGCTAGATTGCCTGATATCATAACCTGGATAATATTTAAAAAAGGTGTAAATTATTAACGTCAATTCTGCCAGTGCAGATTAACTTTAATCCCAGTTTAACTAACAGTGAATTTGATTGCTTGCACTAGTGCGCGCTGAGCGCACACTAAGGAGTTTACACTAGTTTACAGGCTTTTTTATATTTAACTTTATCTTAAATACATGTTCAAAGAGATTTTGCCAAAAAACGATTTGTATGAATGCTATACAGATCATTTTACTGGCTACGAAATATTTCAATAAATATTTAAGACGATTCTTTAATACAAAAATTGACTGTAAACAAGCTTTAGTGTTGTACTCAGTGCGCACAGCTGCCGAATTCGCTAACAGTCTTTATCCTTGTCCAACTCCTGAGACTAGAAGAAGAGGGAAAGTAAGTTAAACCGATATCAAAGTTAATCTGCATTGGTGGAAATGGGCATAAGAGAGTAGTAGAAACGACAAAGATGAATTTGATGTTGGCAGAGCGCTCCGAGTTATTTCAAGAGATTATAATAACCTGAGGTCCTTCAGCCAGATCCCACACAAAAATTATTATCAACAAAATTATTATCCACCACTGACACAGCCTTCTTGCTACTTTAGCAAATTGAATGGATGGAAAAGGCCCGCTTACCACTCAAGCTGTTGTAACATGTGATAAATATGTTAGGTTCAGTCGGAGAAGCTTGTAAGGGCCAGATTTCTCCTACTGGATGCTGGAACACCTGGAAGACTCCTAGCTTCGGCAAGTAATTGCTTAGAATCAGCATACTAGAAAAATGAAAAAACAGGAAATTTTGCATGTGCATTATATTTTAGATAAAATATTTGCACGTTTCAGGTTACATTTGTAGTTTCTTACCTTTCCACATTCAAAATAGATGTCTGCTAAACTTATCTAAAAGGTAGCAATGGTAGCAATTACATCTTCGTCCTTGGAATCTCTGTACTTCGCAACATGTTCCTTGGCAGTGGCAATCCAATCGTAATCGATTTCTCTCAATGATATACAACGACTCGTGACTGTAACAAGATTTATATTAACTCATCAATGAAACATTGTCTTAATTACGATAAATGCTAAATTATTATAATGGTTAACATACTATAAATAATTGTATGATCGTTTATTTCTAATACCAGCTTGTATGCCAATGTCCATATTTCAGCCTCGCAGTCTTCATACCGATATAATCGAGCATATTCACCGGCCGTTATCAGCATGCAAAGTATAAGCTTAGGCTCCCAATCCTTGACAATTTTTTCCTATTGACAATAAAGTACGCTCACATGATTACTGGGCTACAAGCTTTCAATAATAGCCCGACACAATAAATATTCTCTAGTAACTTACAAAGTAGCGACTAAACAGTTGCTTCCACTTCTTCAAACAGTTTTGCAGATACAACTTAAGATTGGTGTCCTTTTTTACATTTATCATAGGGTAAGCAGGAACTACATTTGGAGATTTGTTCTCGACTAGATCTCGTAGCTTGGGAGCGCACAGAGCAAACGTTGTACTTTCTATTTCCAACTGAGTTTGCTTAATCATGACTCGCAAGTTCTCCGCAAAGGTAAAAAGACTTAAATTAGCTTCCAAGCACAGAACAGCTACGGAGTTCGACTTTTTCTGCTTCAAATCGTGTATAGCTTGCTCGTGGTACTCCAGAATAGAGCTCTCGTAATTGAAACCTAAGAAATAATACCCTAATAACTGCACCGTGTGTGCATATTGATCACTCGGCTGTAGCTTCCTCAATTTTTCCAGAACCGCTGCCACGCCGTTCGCAAATGCGACCTGTTCCTCCAGTAAACTGTTGACTTTATGCAGACACAACGCGGTAACGTCGTACTTAGAGATATCGATTAAAAGTCCCAGTTCGCTCTTTATCTCATCTTCATCACTGGTCAAGCAGTCCAGCATAGCTAAGCTTGCAACTCCTTTGGGCGTAATTTTCTTAATGTGCACCCATCTACGAAAAGCTTTTGTGTTTAACTGGTTATACGTTAACAAGGCATTCAATGTGCACACAGTCGCAGCTTTCCTATATAAATTATTGCTGTAATATACAACGCTCAATCTGTCCAGCACGAAAGAGATAATATTTTCAAGATACCTGAAGTTCTCAGAATCTGTAGGGCTCGGTTCGACTCCGTCGAGTTGAGAGATGCAACTGCACAAGAAGGTGAACAGTAAACGCACGCTTTCCTCGTACACATGTTCAGACAGTACGTCTACGTTGTAAGTTAAATTGCGACACGTGTTCCACGATTGTCTCCAACGCTTACATTCGGATTCCTTCATTTCACAAATGACCCACTCGACATTCCGCTTCATAATTTTCCTAGTAACAGCGCACGCTTTCGCCGGCAGAGTTTTAACAGGAAACTTACATACTAGACTGACGAATTTGCATTTCATCACCACGGCGTTGTACAAGTCCCTCTTAACTGTACAGAGTTTGCCCAGGCACGACTTGCACTTGACCGACACGTGCGTGGAGTAAAATTCATCTCTGTTCATGTGTACAAACAAATTCATTAGTTCTAGCAAGACGCCAGTGTCGAGCAAACGCTCGAGCGTGCTCTTGTCGGTGTCCACGCGCTTTTCCCAGTAAGCGAGCACAGGCTCGAATATCTCCGCAGCGCTGATCGCATTCCATTGAAGACCTCCCGCGTATCCGTACTTCCGCGCAACGTTCGTATCGCGGTCAATACTTTGTATACTTTTGGCACTGTCGCCGACAATACCCTCCTCGACGATGCTCCCATCTACGGAGTTCAACGACAGGGTCGCGTTATCATCCCGAGACAATTCGTCTTTCAACAAAGTGTACGACTCGCTACCCCCTTTCCCAGTCGACTCGAGCTTCTCGGGTTGGACTTTGTTAGCCTTATCATTAAACTTATAAACAGGCACTTCGTACGACAGATCGCGTCTTAGAATTTTGTATTCGTTCAGGAATTTCTCGGGTGCGAATCCACGCTTGCCATTTATCTGGAACAGAGATCGGTAGATGGAGAAAATGATATCTTTTCCATGACCGAGACGTCGCTCTTAGGCATTTGACAGGACGTTAAAAGTACGAATAATAAAAATATATTGTATCGCACTAAGGTGAATAACATTCGGCGTAATAGGATGGCAAAGTATACCTCGACACCCCATAAATCCGTGCGTTTTCCGGCGCCCTTACTGAAAACTTTGACTTCTGCATTGTTGTTAAATGACATCACCTCGCGATCGTTTGCTCGGTACGCGAGGATGGTCCTGGCCAACGAGATGGGCTCTAAATAACAGCGGAAAAGCAATGCGGTGAAAATGATGCGGCTGAGGGGGGAAAAAAAGTGTGCTATGGGATTCTGAGTTAAAGTATGGCTTCAATTACCCGAACAATTGGGGTCGTAACATAATTGCTTGTCGGACAAGGCGGCTAGGCATTGCGGTATTACGCAGAGAATTATCGTGGCACGCAGAAACGAGACATTTGTAAACGGCTTGATTTTCGTCATATTTTCACCGTTGCAAAGTTCCACATCACTACCGACGTCTACTAACATACAGTGACACTGCCTCCTCTCTCTCCTCGGACGCGCAACGTGACCATGAACTACGCGCGTCTTGTAGAGAGCCCTCGTTCGTGCGTTTTCCTCAACACCATATTGCCGCGGAGCGTGATCAGCGTTTCCTTGCGTTCGCGAAATATCAATTAAATTAACAATTAGATAATCTCCGAATTCTCTCATTTCCTCAAATTCTTGAGGAGTTCTTGCAATTTTAAGTAGTCCACCATGGACGTAGGAAATATCTAAACGGAGCCTAAAGCACAGT